GACTCGTCGTATATATATATCCCACGCCAACGAAAGCTAGCAAATGCTCAACTATATATATTTTAATTATATGACACCAACAAGAGTAATTATATATATATGTGGTGGTAAGTGTGTTACATGATCTGGGGATAGGGTTGTGTAGGGTCTGGCCGTCTGGGGATACCATGGTTGATTAAAGCCAGAAAAAACAAATTATATTCCTTTACAACTCTTAAAAATTCATATTTTAAAATATTTTATATTTTGTATGAATTGAGAATAGAATTAGAATGATATTAGTGTAAAAATTGATTATTTAGTTAGTTTAATTTTTGTATACACGGTAACAATAATACGAGATAATGATATTGATGCATTTACATTATTATTGAAAATATACGATACTTTGTTATACAGATTTAAATTAATATATAAAATATTTGTATGTTTATATATCAATTTGAATTAATGAAATAAAGTATTAAATATTTTTTAATTTTTTTAAAATTTTAAACTTGATTTATATATTTATAATTTTTAATTCAATAGTTGAATTATTAAAATTTGATATTAAATATATGTTATCGAAGAGAGTAAATCTATAAAAGCTTATTTTTACAGTAAGTAAATATTTTTTCTCTCTATATATATGTGATATTTTTTTACAATTATTATAAGCTCATCAACCATTTTCTATTTGTAAATACAATAAAAAAGATAAGTCAATTTCTTCCTCTTAAAATTGTCATGATTTCACTTTAGAAACTAATTATAATTCGACATTAATTTGATGAACATGTAAGAAGATATTTTTTGTGATTGGTCAAACTTATAATGATATTAGAGTTCAAACTTAATATTGTGTATATATTATTTTGACACTATAAGTGTCATTTTAATTTTTTTTTGTTCATTGTCAAGGAGTATCTCTTTGTTGAATACAAGGATTACTCTTGTTTAGGAGTTTGACAGTCATCGATTGAGTAAATATCTACTCTCAACTTGAATTTTTTACATTCCTAAAAGTTAGGAATCAATCTCTCATCATTTGATAGTTAAGCGACCCATTTAAGATAATATAGTTATGTATTTGAAGATTAAAAATGAATATTTATTTCTTAAAAAACTTTTAAATTGTAGCATAAGAATGAACTATTTTCACACAAAAAAATTAAATTGAACTATTTTTGTTTTTTCATAAAAATCAAACTATACTATTTAAGAACCAAATTGAACTAATTAAACTGATATACAAAAATTAAACTATTCTTATAATAGTAAAATTCACTCTCTTTTTTTATACTTATCGTTGCATAGAAAAAAAAATCCAATTTAATTATTCAAAACATAGTTCGATTCAATTTGAATGAGGAGTATGAATAGTATCTCCAAGCAACCTCCAAAAAATCAACGTCCAAGTGACGAGGGTTGGTGGTGGAGGACACTCATAAAAACTATAATGCCTAAGTAACCAAAGACTTTAGCAAAGTCACAATATGAGAGAATGAGAAAGCTTGTCTATACCTTTGATGTGATTCTCTATTTATAACTAACGAAGAGGGAAGTAAGAGAAAAATAATTGTTATCATACATGGACAATTTATTACAAAGTGTACTATGTTAACATGAATTGTTTAGTCTAAACATAATAAAGTCAGCCTAACTAAGTCGACCTAATTATTACTAAGTCGACTTAAATATAATTAAGTCAATTCAAATGTAATTAAGTTAACTTCTAATAGATCAGGTCACTCGCATAAAAAAATGTTCATTGTTAAGTTAATAGAAATAGAGAAATGGATCGAAGAAATAGTAAAATAAAGAAATGTTGTATATAAAGAGCGACATACCAACCACTAAAAGAAGAACCGAACTTGACCAAAAGAAAAGAAAAGAAGAAACGAAGAAGCAAGCATAAACTTGGCCGGGTATATATTTTCAATTTTGTTCTGCTCTGAAATATCTTGGTTTCGTTTGTCTTTGCAAATCGTACTGAGATAAGAATATTCAGAGTATTACATAAACAAAAATAGCTGAGATTTGTATAAAAGTTTAAAATTATTAGTTATAAAAAAATATTGTTATTTCTGTTGGTGCCGAAAAGTCAATCAGCAGCCCAACCGGAGGATCTACAATTTATTACCAAGGGATACCCGTCATCTTCAATTTGCATTTTTTTAAGGAGGTGGTGGGCAATGAGAAATTGAGAATTGAGAGAAGTCAATTTTCTAATTTTATTTTTTTCGTACAATCACCATACTCACATTTCATCCATTTGATTTTATGTTTTTAAATAAAGGAAATTCTCAATAAAGTTTGAAGACACTAATTAAAATATATAGGATTAATCCACTTACTTAATTCATTCTTATATAAAACCTTCAAAATTTAGGTTGGGTTAAAATTATTGAGTTTAATCACTAATTTTTGCGATGATAACACTAGTAGAAAAAGGGTAATTTACGTTACTGTATTCTTTACGGACAAAGAAAAATTTAACGTTAAAAAAATGCAGTGACATTTTTGTAATTATAATCAAGATTTTTACGTCGGATCTCATAGGGGCCAACGTAAAAAAGAAAATCTACGTCGGATATAGCTTGTGTCCGACGTAGATTTTCTAATTTACGTCGGTCCCTACAAGGTCCGATGTAAAATATCTACAAATTTCAAATTTCTTCGCACGCGCGTCAATATTTAAACAAGAGAGCTTTGAGTGTATGTGCAATTCGAGTCTTCTGAGTTAAGATTTTGTTTGAGTGTATTGCATTTGAGTGTACGTTTGCGCGTTTGAGTGATTCTTGAGTTTTTGACTGATTGCATTAGGCTCACGTTTGAGGTTAGTTTGGAAAATCATTTCTTAATATATATTAGCTAATATGTTGAAAATAAATGTATGTATTGATCTATTCAGGGACGGAGCCAGGATTTCAATACTGGGGGGCCGAGAATTGGAATGATCAAATGAGGCGCTACATTTTTTTAAAAAAAAAAAATTCCAAAGTGATACCACATAGCAGGCCGTACCAGAAGTCCAAAAGTTGAATAAAAAAATAAATTTGGGTTATTCATTTAATTATACATATGAGTTTATATTAAAAATAGGGGGTGCCATATAGTAATATATATGTATATAAAAAAAAATTAAAATTGTTGGGGGGGCCGTGGCACCCGTAGGTCCCCCCTTGGCTCCGTCCTTGGATCTATTAATATATTAGTTAATATTATCCTCTTCTTCGCGTTTGGGTGGATCATTGTTTGTTAATATATTAGTTAATACTAAGTAGAAAATTCTTTGCATTTGGGTGAATCTCCAAGCAGAATGGGACGTTCTCCAAGCAGAATGGGCCGTTCTGCGCTTTGCTTGGAGAACGGGTCGTTCTGCTTAGGAAACGGCCTGTTCTGCTTGCACGCGTTATGTTTTTTTTTTGTTTTCAACTTTTTTACGTCGGCTCTTGTGAATGTCTGACGTAAATTTACGTCAGCTATCACAACCCACGTAAATTTAAGTCTCCCGCATTTACGTCAGACCTTTTTCTGACATAAAAAATTTAAAATAACCGACATAAATTACCCTTTTTATATTAGTGTAATTAAGTTTTGTGTAAATTTATTTTAGGTTAACTATTTCTTTTGTCTGAATAAATATATAAAATTTTATTTTTAGTCTTTCATTTTTAAAATATTGATTCTTAGTCCTCATTTTTTTACAACATGCCAAATTTTATTTTTATCACATTTTTTTTAATTCAATCTAATCTAATAGTGACACCAAGTCACTACTACATATATGTATGTTAATTTAAAGGTTTAGAATTTTGTTTTAAACATGTTAAATTACTTAAATAAGAGGAACACAATTTATTTTGTATATTGTGTAGTATAAAATAAATGTTTATTTTATATAAATTAATTTATAATAAATAAATATTAAATAATTAAAAATATCAATAATATGAATTGAACTTTAATATTTTAAAATAAATTATTAACCATTAGAAATAATTCCATGTCACATTATAACTTATTTATCATAAATCTAAAATATAATTTATGTATTAAAAGAATCTATTTATATAAATTTTGAATACTCCTATATATCTGTTTATTTATGTAATTTATTATTATTCCATTAGTTTCACAGTATAATTTTAACATTGAAAAATGTTATAAAATAAATAATATTATCATTTTTTAATATAATATTGATTATTTATTTTTTAATTTGTCATTTCACAAATTATTCAACCACCACAGTTTAACATAATATATTTATTAAAAATGTGGACTATCTTAGTAAAATATAAAATTGTATAACAAAAATGACACATTTATTTTTATATGTGTAGAAACCTTAAACTCTAATTATTGTTGGATGGAAGAAATACAAGCTTTAGTTATAGATAATAGATATTTGACGTACATTGTACATATTAAAATATTAATAAATTTATTTTATATACTAAAATATTAATTATTTTATTTTTAATAATTGAATAAATATTCGTAGGAAAAAAGAAACAAGGTTAAGAACTCAATTTTACGAATTAAAAATTAAGAAAATAAAATGCTAGTAATTTCAGAGAGAAACAAAAAGTGCTATGCCTATGACCAATAACGGATAACTATATAAAACCTGGGGTCTAAACTAATGAGGAATCATGATTGAGGACCAAGACGGGAAAAACAAAAAGGTGTTGTCCTCACATATTCTCTAACCAGAAAGTCACCGTAAGCAAGAACAACAAATTTTCCTTGTACCTAGCTAGGGGTTAATTGTACAACAAAAAAAACAGAAGCTAGGGGCTAATTTTCCTTCACTTGCATCTTAAAAAGTTGCACCTATCTAAATCTGACCCATAAATTTTATAAAGCAAAGAAAAGAAAATCTACGGGGTCGTGTCCTTACTTCGAACCCAAGAGACCTCTACCTTTTCACTATGTGCTCTTGGGAATTCTCTGTCACCAACACGTCAATGTGGCATCTGTTTCAAGATTCTGCAAAAAGAAAAAAAAAGTTGAAAATGTGGGTGCTTTTATTTTACACACTCCTTTACATTCTAAAGATCATTGTTGAGAGCACATAATAAAACACATTGCTTTGCCACGTTGTTTCATTAATGAATAGTTTAATACATGCTTATTGTCTTTTGACATAACCCTTTTTTTTAATGCATTACTTGTTCATTGAGGACTTGAATTAACCATGTGGTCATATTTAAGCAATTTGTTCTCATCTCATAACTGATTTAACCAAACCTCGTTTTTTTCCTCTGCTTCTAGCGCCATGACACAAGTACATTTTTGAAAAACACGTTAAGATAAAAGAGGCCTCTGCCTCTCTGCATCAAACTCACTCTCTAAGCCATCTACTTCTGGGTGCCCTTCTTTCCCTTTTGCCCAAAGAACTAAGTAGAGCCCAGTGAACAGGAGAAACATGCCTGCAAGACTGCAATGAGGTGTTTGTAGTAAGGACTAATAACATACTATATGTATACGTTTCATTTTGTTCAACGTTTTAATAATTTTTTTGTGATTCAATTTGATTGTTATTTTATAATATCAATTCAACATTAATTTTTTTTTATTATGCCCTTAACCATTATTTATACATTCTTTAATTATTGGTAAGAATTCAAAAACAAAAAAAAGGGTATTTTTCAAGCCACGTGCAAAAATTTTAATTGTCAAATAAAATGGAACGGAAAGAATAATATATATAAAAAAAAAGTTTGGTTTTTTGAAGGGGCATTTCTTTAGAAACGTCGGTCCACATAACTAAGATTTTTAAGTCAAACAAATATTTTGTTTTATAATTTATTAAAATAATATTTTTTAAAGAGTGTTGGAGGGGTATTTTTGTCTTGTAGCAGTGTCTATAAAACATTTTCGTGTGCAAAGGTCAGAAATAAGTAGTTAGGAATCTTAATAATACCTTCCAATTCTAATAGTGTCTCCAAGGGTAATTACCGAGAAAACAACAGAGCACACTGTACCAATGGGACTAAACATGGAGACAAACACTGGCCCTCTCTTCTTCAGTGCCCACCCGTTGAAGCTCAGGCATATTCCACTCACAGCACCTGCCTGTGAATTTACAATTTTTATGCCTTTAACTTAACACCCATCACAGGGAGAATATAAAAAGTTCCACACATGGTTGGTACAAATCAAATGACCATACAGTATCCTTGCAAACATTTCACGAGATGTCATGCTTTGCTGAGTAATAATGAAAATTTATAGCTAGAATATTCAACCCAATTGTTTTGCCCAGGTTATCACTGTTTCAACATGCAAGAGGAAGACTGAATTAAGCACCAAAAACAACAATTCAAATGACATTTTAGTTCTCAAACTTATCTTTCTTTGAAAACAATTGTGTAAGGAGAAATTATTAAATAATCTTGGATCATATCGTATATAATTAATATTTACATGATATGTAATGAGTTAAAAACACTTGATAACCTCATAAAGATTAATTGAGATCATAAATACTTTATCGAGGTGGAAGTACCTTAGTGTATGTGCACTAAATGTAAACACATTTTTGGACAGACATTCGAAACTAGCAAATAAAATGATGAGACAGAGTGGGAATTACCAGAATACAATAGGCTATCAAGTCTGCTGAACTCACAAGAATCCATCTACTTTTCAGTTTGTGGCTTTCAAGTAACCAAAGAGTTGCAGTCATGAATGCCCCAAACAAGGACGTTATTGCACCTAAGGACATTGGTGCAGGAAAATTTCCGAGAGCAAAAGCCTGCATCAAAGACAATTTTTGTTGAGTTATGAGATTAAGAAGATTTGTATTGTATCCTCTTTCTTAGTATTTTGATCACAGGGTAAGTTACCTGCAGGACAACGCTGCTCGACAAAATCAAGACTGCAAGAACGAGATAGAGGCAACCGATTATCTTGTGAATGTCAAAGGTAAAATCTGATGGCACCCGTGACAATTGAAGTGCGCCACTTATCACGGTTGCTGGAGAAGAAATGCTTTGCATTATGCTCAATGTGAGAGCTCCGCACACACAAAGCAATGTTCCAAAGATTTTTACTTTACTATAGTGGTGGTTTGTGTTGACTTTCTCTAACCTGTCCAATACAATAATTTCCAAAGGGGTAATTCATTAGTAGAAGGAGCATTAAACATATTCCTTATTTTTGTCTCCTATCACATTCACTATTTGGGGATGATTTAATGCAATAATAAAACTACCAAAACCCTAATAAAATAAGATTACCCAGAAATCCAAGCGATGACGAAGATAAGACCTGGGGCAAGGTTTGGCATGGCAGTTCCCATTGCTGGTGAAGTTAGATTGATTCCTTTGAGGAAAAACAACTGGAAGACAAGTCTGCACAACAAAAGATTTTTAATATTACAAATTGGATAAACCTTAAAGTTATGGGATTGTTATGTTATTAATAACTAGCCATTATTTCCATTTCGACATTATGTTTGTATTTGGATCAAGCCAACCTTCCAATGGAACTAATACATTATCATGATCATTGACTGCTGATTGCTGAATCACTAAAAGAAAGGACAAAAGACCCAACAAAACAATCACTTTGATAATGTTAAAAGGAAACTAAATTAGATTTACTTACCCTCCAAATGAAAGAAACAATATCTGTGCAATCAACTTGAAACTGGGATGCCGTGGCCATTTACTCCTGCACCAGATACATAATAACATAATCACATTAGTTTTCAAATAATTCCCATCCCAACTGAACATAGAAAGTAAAAATGTCATTAATTTCTAGGATTCAAATTTTTTTTCTTCTAATGGACATGATGTATACCGTATCCTAAAGTTGACGATAAAAAAATTAATCTACAGTTCCTAAAATATTTTTTTTTGTTGGTTAAACATTATTTAAAAAAAATTGATCCTGAGAGCATCAAGTTAATACTTGTCTTACAACTATTAGACAACAAGTTTGATTATTTTTAGTATTCATTTAGAAGCAGATGGGAAAAATGAGAGAAAGGACCTTTCAAAACAAAAGGCAACGGGAAAGAGAATAATGAATGTAGCGAGAGAAGTTAAAAAGATGATGGTATGAGAGCTGAAACCCAATGACATAGCATAACTCATCAACACAGCATTCCCCGCGTAGACAAGTTGAACTCCTATCAATCCTCCGATTAATACTGCATCTTCCAAAGCTACTCCATTTATCTTTTCCATGTTCATCTTTTCCTCCAAACAAATTGATCAAAAATGACGTCTGTTACCAAGAGAGGATACCTATTTTGCATCCTATCCTCTCTTCATTCTCTTTTGCGTTTTCTCAACACCACAGCTAGCCCTTGTTTTAAATCAATCAGTCCCCTCCAATTGTGTCTCGAAACTCAGATTGCAATTATTTGTTCAAGGAAATGGTAATGCGTATGCAAGCTGCTATGCTTCTTCCGCGTTTGCTTCTTTTGGGAAATCTTTGATTCTGTTCGAACCAAGCTAACCTTGACGATGTTCGTGTCCATACCAACCCTGTCTCTCTATAGTCTAACCATTTTTGTTATTGTTAGATTTTCCAATATATAAATAGTGGTGATTGGTTGGTCCGCGTTCAGAATTGAGAAGATTCTCTTTTCTAAATCTAGATTTGTTCCTTAAAAATAGAACATCATTATCCCTCTCGTTTTCTACTCAACAGATGAAATATAAATTTTGATAGATATTTCTAAAACTTCAATATTGGAAAGATGTCCATGCAACGAACGGTGTGGAAGTAAGTTTGAATAATGTATATCCGTGCAGGCATTCATGCCTTATGCCCTGCAACAATTCCACCCTTCAACATGGACCGATCCTGAATCCAAGAACTAAATGTCAAAAATAAAAACTATATACAAACTTATTTTTGGTAACCAAAACAGAGGAAAAAAATTAGAATGGTCGGTTAAGGCTATATTTAATGATATATTTGCATCTTATAATAACCACAGTTAGCTCACATTAGTACTATTTATTTATTTATTTATTTTCTGTTTAGTTAAGTGTGAATTATAAAGAAACTTGAATTAAATTAAAAGTAAGGAGACTGTCACATTTATTTAACGTTGATTTAGGAAAATAAGTTTAACTTAACTGAACTTTCTATTATAACGTAATCATCAAGAGAATATCTAAACATGTTTTTTTTCTTCAAGTTTTAATAATTTTAATAGCAACACTGCTGTTACAATAAAGATAACTCAGGCAGGTTACACATTATTTAAACATAAAATAACAGTAGAACATCAAAATAAATTTTACTGGTAATTTAAAATAAGTTACCTCTTTCACACTTTATTAAATCCATGCATATGTATGAAGAGGATAGTTTGATTTATGACTATTTTTCATTTCCACTTTTATCTAAGATGATTCTATTATTAAATATTTAAATAATAAAGAATAATATCATAAGTTACTTATATTTTGATCATTCAAATAAATTAATTACATGTAACTAGTGAAAGTTCTAAAAGTTTTAAATAATTTATTCATATATTTATAATATTAAAAATTTTAGATATCACTTTCTAAAATATAAATATATATATATATATATCATAATTTTTTTTTACAAGATTTTATATCTACAGCTAAGACTAGAGGTGAAAATAAATAAGGTTAGATTAAGATTTATTAGATATGAGTTTAACCTTTATTGAAAATACATATATTAAATATGATTTATTTATTTATCATAAACATTTTCTTTAAATATTTGGCTAGAACTATAACTCTATTTAAAGGTCTACTTTTTAGTAATTAAAGACTAAGAAAACATAAAAATAAATGTTAAATTTTATAAAAAATTAATTTAATTTATTTATGATATAAATATATTTTTAATATTTAATATATATTTTTAGATGATAATTTATTTTAAAATATATCTTATAATAACAATTCTAAATGGAACATAAATCTTCTGATATTTCTTATT